TCGGGCTCTGTGCTGACTGCCAGCCCAGAGCCTGGAGCCTGTTTCAGAGTCTGTGACTCCCTCTCTCTCTGACCCTCCCCTGCTCACGCTGTCTCTCCCTCTCTCTCCTAGAAATAAATTTTAAAATATTAAAAAAAAGAGAGAGAGAAAGAAACAGCACTGGGTCATTCTGCACCTGATCCAATGCCATGCACTGGTTGAATGCTGGGGCTTTTGAGGCCCCTGGGAGCTCATAGAGTGAGCATTTCCTTGAGTGAGGTGTTATCTCCCAGCTATCTCTTCAGCCCCATCCTCCCCGCAGAGAAGACACAGTTGGAGCCCTGCAGCCCTAATTCTCAGTCCTCATTCAGCAACGCCCTGGGAATCCATGGTTGGCTCAAGGCGTACCACGAAATCCTTATTAACCAAATTAATATAAATTCGATTCTAAAGGAAAATCCATGCTCCTCTGAGGTGTTGCTATGGGTCCAAACAATGAGAGGGCGTTGTAGCTGTATGAAGGGCAAGAATTGTATTGAAAGCTTAATGAAATCTTGCAGACAAAACGTTGAGCAAAAGAAACCAGACACCAAGGAATATGTACTCTGTGATTCCATTTAGATAAAGGTCAAAAACAGGCAGGCCTACCTGGTGCTATTTAGGGATGTATTTTGAGATTGTAAAAATGTAAAGGACAGAATGGCCGGGATTACCACTAAAGTCCAGAGCGTGGTTCAGCAAAGGGGGTTGGAATTCCACTGGGAAGGGGGCTTCTAGGGTTCTGGCAAGGTTCTATTTCTTGACCTGGGTAGAAATAACATAAGTTTACTTTTTGTTACAATTCATTTAGATCTATGGGGTTCCCTTCATATAATTTATCTAGGCACTTTTCTGTATGTTGTAGTTTGTAATAACAAATGTTGGGGTTTGTTTTGTTTCATTAGTAAACTTTGCAGCAACTCCACCTGAGAAGACATTTTAAAAACTATAGGAACTGGGGCACCTGGATGGCTCATTCCATTAAGTGTCTGACTTTGGCCTAGGTCACGATCTCACAGTTCACAAATTCCTGCCTTGCGTCAGGCTCTGTGCTGACAACTCAAAGCCTGAAGCCTGCTTAAGGTTCTGTGTCTCCCTCTCTTTCTCTCTCTCTCTCTCTCTCTCTCTCCCACTTGTGCTTTGTCTGTCTGTCTCTCTCTCAAATGAATAAAAAATACAAAAAAATTTTTAAGCTACAGGAAGTAAGTCTTAATTGGATAGAAAAGACCTTGAGATATCATCAAGCCCAGTGATTTTTAAGCTTTTGGTTGCAGAAGAATCACCTAGATTCATGGCAAAAGACAGATTCCTGGACCCCACTCTCTAGAGATTGGGATTCAGTAGGGACAGAGTTTGGGACCCAAGATCCCGAGTCCCTAACAAGCTCTCAGATGATGCTGATGCTACCACAGTTTGAGTAGCACTTGTCTGCTCCTAAAGTTTTGCCCTGTCCCTCAAAAGACACACAAGGAGACAGTCCATGCGATAGAAGATGTGAGATACGGTCCTCTGCCTGTTTGTTAATGTAGATCTATCTAGCTTCTAGTCTTGATAGATCACTGAATCTAATTAAGTATTTTTATGTGAAATAATCCTGCCTGCTTCCCAAATACACACACACTCATACCCTCCACATAATCAATTATGTGTCAATTTGAACTTCTACAAAACCAGAAGTAAGTGTAGTGGTTTCTGAAGTCACGCATCAGCCATCCACACAGAGGAAAGGGGGTAAAAAGGTGCTAGCTCCTGGGATCCTTAAAAAAGCCTGCTCTCTGATGCAGAGGAATGCACAACCATTTTCTTGTTCCCTGTTTAACTGACTGCCATCAGCCTTCAGCCATCAACTGTGGACCGCTGCCAATTTATGAGGAAGAAAACAGCCTGACGTCTCCTTCTCTAAATTCTGCATTATATTTCCTTTTGCTGTACAAAATGCAAAACAGAAGCTAAAATTAGAAGCTGAGGTGCTGCTGAGGCTGGTGCATGTAGAAAGAAGGAAGAGAGAAGATGTCACAGGGAAGGATTCAGAGGAAAGCTGCCTGGGGCCCCTTCCTGAGCTGTCCCAGACAGGGGTAGGGGAGAGAAACACAAAAGGGGGGGGAGAAGGCTGGAGACTGACAGTCTCCCCGATTACTGTACCTGCAGAGAATCCTTGTGGCCTCTGGGTTCCCTCAAAGGACTCTGACCTACTTTTGGAAATGTTTCCTTATTTATCAGAATACATTCTCAGTGAATTGCAGTCAAGTTTTCTGCAGTTATCCAATAAAAAGTTTTAGTTTCAACACTGGGGGCTGCCAGCCGTGTCTCTGTGCAGAGTAGTAATTATCTAGCAGCACCAGACTGATGGTGGACGTGATGAATTTCTTTTCCTTTTTAAAAAATTTTTAAATGTTTATTTTTGAGAGAGACAGAGTAGGAGAGGTGGAGGGGCAGAGAAAGAGGGAGACACAGAATCTGAAGCAGGCTCCAGGCTCTGAGCTGTGAGTGCAGAGCCCAATGTGAGACTGGAACTCACAAACCTGAGATTTTGACCTGAGCTGAAGTCAGCCGCTTAACTGACTGAGCCACCCAGGCGCCCCCACGACAGAATTTCTTAAAGTGGCAGGGAAGCTGCACTTTTAAAGGAATCCATCTGAAAATCTTCGAGCAAAGCCTGGAGTCTGTTTAAGAACAGAGTTCGCCTGAGATAGCTGGCTAGGTCCATGGCCCAACTAAGGAACACAGACTTTCTGGATGTGAGCATAAAAGCCTTAAAGCAGAAGTGAATACAATAATGCCTTAGATTTATGGGGCACTTACTTCAAGGAACCTCAGGGATTCCTGCTTACAGGGTAATACCATAGTCTCTGGGCAGAGTGACCAGCGCAACTGGAAATCTCACTGAGCTGTTACTGAAAACTGTGCAAGCGGGGCGGCTGGGTGGCTTAGTCGGTTAAGCGTCCGACTTTTGACTTTCGCTTGGGTCATGATCTCGCGGTTCGTGGGTTTGAGCCCCGCGTCAGGCTCTGTGCTGACTGCCAGCTCAGAGCCTGGAGCCTGTTTCAGAGTCTGTGTCTCCCTCTCTCTCTGACCCTCCCCTGCTCACGCTCTCTCTCTCTCTCTCCTAGAAATAAATAAAAATATTAAAAAAAGAAAACTTTGCAAGCAATACAGGGAGCAGAAACACAGAACCAAAAAAAACAAAAACAAAACAACGAGGGACAGAGGTCAAGGCTTCCCCGGGGAATAGCTCCTAAACTGGTGGAGTGCAGTAAGCCCCGGGCCTGTGGTTCCTCCTCCCTCATCTCACGCGGCTGCTGAGAAAATGAGACGGACCGCGTGGGCGCCCCCTAATTACGCATGGGCGTGGGGACCAGGCACTGGCTGGCCGGTGTCTCCTCTCCCCTGCTCTCAGCCGCCGGCGGGCCAGATGGGGATGGGACAGTGGGGGCGGGGCCGGCGGCTCCTCTGGGGCCGCAGGGGTGCAGCCCGCGCCGGCCTCCCTCCTACGTGAGTGTAAAAGCCCTAAAGCAGAAGTAAATACAATAATGCCTGCCTGAGGAGGGGCGGAGCCGCACAGCCCGGCTCCGAGGGGCAGAGGCCCACGCAGGAGCAAACCCTAGGTTCTTAGGAGAGCACCCCTCCCTGAGGCTCTAACCTCAGCTCCCTGCGGCGGCACCTGCCCGCCGCCCGAGTCCCGGGGCAGCCACAGCGCGCAGACGCGGAGACAGACTGCCCCGCAGGGCCTCCCCCCCGCCCGGCGCAGCGCCGCAGCTCCTCCGGCCCCTTCCGCGGCTCAGCTGCCAAAGCCCAGCAGCAGGGAAAATTCGAAAACTAGGACCCGGAGCAGAATAGCTCCAGGAGGTGGTTAAATAAACGTCCAAAGGAGTTTGCTGTTTCTATGCTCCTCTGACTCCTGTTCTAAAACAAGTGAAAAATGTCACTCCGAGTGAAGCCCTGCAACTCTGGCTAAGAATATAGTGTTATTATTAGAGTAATTGGGAGGGAGTCATGCCACCTCCGGGCAGGGCTCTTCTGGGCCGTGTGGGAGGCGACTGTCAACAGCTGCTGGGAGGAAAGCTTGTTTATTGTCAGCAGCCTGGCGCAGAGATTAAGACAGACTTGGTCTCCAGATCACACCCACGTAGCCGCAGGCAGTGGCTGCTCCAGACACTGCATTCAGCCACAGGGGTCCCCGGTCTCCGCTCAAGGATGACTCAACCAACAAGAAAACCCAGCAGGCCCCCAGGACAGCTGGGCCAATTCCAACGAACCCAAGACTCCCAATTGAAAAATGCAGTATACAATGCCTTCCTTGCCCAACAGACTAAACCCAAGAACCAGGACCGGCTACGAATCCCACACAATAGCTCCATGACTTGAGAGTTTCTTTATTTGGTCACCAAATACTATTGTGCACCTACTCCTGCAGATGCATAGAATAGGGAATAGAGCAGTGAAGGAGACAATTCTAATCCCCGCTGTCATGGAGTTGACAGTCCCAAAGAAATCACCTGCAATTAAGCTGGTTATTATGTGATGAGTATTATAATATAGTTCAAGGAACCAAGAACATAATGGTATGGATTATCTAAACTGAGCACAGGAATTGCCTTGATAAGGAAACTCACTAAGAAAGACAGTGAAGTTCAAACTATTGGGGTTTTGGGTTGTTAGCCTACGACCATCCCTACTTTTTCTTCAGCTAATTAAACTTTTAGCTAATATCTACCCGTCTGGTGTGTGTTCTATTTCATTACCAGTCTCTTGAACATAAAGCTCTGGGAATAAATAATTATAATCATAGAGCACCAATCAAAGAGCCCAGAATTCTCTGGGAGCATGACAGATCCCTTTATCCACTGAGGTCAGTATAATACGCATGCTATCATCATCTGCCATTATTCTTACTTTCCCCCTGACAGCAATAATTCCCAGAAGCCTTTACCCCAAAAAGGCTCAGTCCTTTATGACATCATATAAGCAGCCTCATACCGACTAAGAACAGAGAGTGAGTTAGACATCTTCAACCCCAAAGATAGAAAAAGTGAGGTGATTAAAATCATGAAGTTTCATGAACTTCCCCCAGCACAGCTACCAGAGTGAACCTTGTAAAACGTAAGTCAAATGATGTCCTCTTCTGTTCAAAACCTTGTACTCAGACTAAAAGCCAAATTTCTGACAATGGCCAAGATCTTCCATGAGCCAACTCCTCCTTACTTGTCTGACTTCCTCCCCTGGCTTACTCTGCTTCACGCGTGGACCTCCTTGCTGGTTTTCTTGAACACACCAAGTACACTCCCTACTCGGGGCCTTTTGTACTGATCATTCTCCTTTCCTGGAACTTTCTTCCCACATTCTTATTCTCTCCCTCCCTTTGAGTCTCTCCTCAAATGTTACATTGCCGATTTGTAAGTGACACCCTCCCTGGCCACCCTATTATGAGAGCAATAGTCCCTCGGCAATCTCTGTCCTCCTAATCTGCTTTATTTTTCTTCAAAGATGGTATCATTCTCTGATACCCAGTGTACTTTGTTTGCTGTCTGTCTCCTCTGCTAGAATGTTTGCTTCTTGAGGACAAAGGTTTTTTTCTGGTTTTGTTTGGGTTTTTTTTCTCTCTGTTTTCCATTGCCTAGAATACTGCCTGGAACACAGTACAACCTCAAGAAATATTCAGTGAATAAATGATTGAATGATAAATTAGTTGGGAAAGGAAGAACATCAAAAAATGGTGTTGGGATTTTTGGTGTTTCCAGATAGAAAATAAAATTCTACACACACACAACACATACAAAAGCAAATTGTAGATGGATTAAATACCTAGATATACAAAGGGAAAGCTTAAAACTTTTAAATAATAACATAGGAGTCTATATGATTCCACAATAGAGAAAAATTTCCTAGCTAAGAAGCATAAACCATATGGAAAAAGATTGATACATCTGACAACAAAAAATAAAATGTCTATACCTTAAACAATACCATAAACAGAAGGGAAAAAAAAGAATGAAAACAAAATAGGAAAGGAGGTTTTTAACATATAAAACTCTCAAAAGGTTAAAATTTAGAATATATTAAAAATTCCTACAATAATAATAAATAACCCAGCAGAAAGAGAGTTAAATGCAACAGAAAGGCAATCCACAAACGAAGAAACTTGAATGGCTAATCAGTTTAGGAAAAGTTGCCCAACCTCACTAGAAAATAAGAGAGTAATGAATAGATAAAAGCAAGGAGGAACACACCTCCATTACATTCACAACAATTGAAAATCTGATAAAAATCAAATGTAGATGAAATTTTAGGGGGGACAGAAACAAGACTTCTCATTGACCACTGGTTGGGGTCTGATGAGCATAGCACCTGGAGAGGGGAGTTGCAAACGCACCCGCCATTCTGCTCACCAATTCCATGTGTTCTGTAGAAACTGCTGCACGCACACACAGGACATATGTGAGGATGTTCACATATGAGGCAGTTCTGTTTCTAAGAGTGGAACCCTGGAAGCAATCTCAATGGCCACCAGTGGGGACCGGATTGTTATATTGACACAAAGGAATGCGATGCAACAGGGCTCAGCAAACTTGTTCTGGGCCACACAGTAAATGTTTAGGTTTTTTGGATCACCTAAGTCCGTACTGTAGACTCTCTTCTTCTCCTTCTTCTTTTTTTATTTATTTATTTATTTATTTTTTTAAAATGTTTTATTTATTTCTAGGAGAGACAGAGAGAGAGAGAGAGAGACAGCGTGAGTGGGGGAGGGTCAGAGAGAGAGGGAGTCACAGACTGAAACAGGCTCCAGGCTCTGAGCTGGCAGTCAGCACAGAGCCCGACGCGGGGCTCGAACCCACGAACCGCGAGATCATGACCTAAGCGAAAGTCGGACGCTTAACCAACTAAGCCACCCAGGCGCCCCAGTCTCCTTCTTTTTTTTAAACAACCTTTACAAATGTAAAACCTTTCTCAGCCAGATTTGCTCACAGGCTGGATATGCTGGCAGCCACAGTTTGCTCAATGCTGCTGTAACAGCAATTAAAATTAGTCTACCTCTCCTACCCGGACAGGTAGGTCCCTGCAGCATCTGCACCATCTGAATACTGGGGCCACCTGAGCACCGGAGCCACCAGTTCTCAGGCAGCAGACAGTCAGTAAAGTACCACAAAACAAAAGTAAGCATGTGGACACTGCAATAAAATCTATCACAGAGCTATTCCAATTCTTTATGGGGTTTAGAATCTCTGGTTTTGAACACTTTTAGAGCACCGCAAAGCAAATATCCACCGGCTGAGAAATGGAAAGTAAACTTTATGCTTTCAGTGGAAAGGAAATTATTTTCATATGATGTTTGAGATAAGTTAATTATTAACAAGAAAATTGAAAATTAATTTTTCTTATAATGGAAAATAAAGCAACAGAATGCATAAAGAGGCGTATTTAATTATACACTAATTATGAAGCTGCTTTCAATTTTTTGTATGACCTCTACAAGTTACAGGAAATGCCAGAGGAAACGTTAAAATGCCATTGTATAAATTTCTATTTAAAATTAAATTCAGGGGCTCCTGGGTGGTTCCCTGGGTTGAGCATCGAACTTAGGTCATGATCTCATGGCTCTGAGTTCAAGCTGGCATCAGGCTCTGTGCTGACAGTTCAGAGCCTGGAGCCTGCTTCAGATTCTGTGTCTCTTCTCTCTGCCTCTCCCTCACTCATGCTGTGTGTATGTGTGTGTGTGTGTGTGTGTGTGGGTGTGTGCGCGTGCACGTGCGCACGCATGTGTGTGACTCAAAAATACACATTAAAAATTTTTTTAATAAAATTAAATTCAGACTTACATGAAGATCATCAGCTCTAGATGTACTAAAATTTCTATTGTGAAATAATTTACCAGAAGTTTACCCCAATGTTGTCTCATCCTCTAAAATATACCTAACATTTCCAGCAACTCTTGTACCAATAGAAAGCTCCTTCTCAAAGTTAACAATTATCAAACATTTATTTGAAATACTGCATTTGCCAAGAATGACTAATGTCACTTTCAATTATATCGACTGAAAATGAAGTTGCTGAAAGTGTAACTTTTGATGACCTAATACATGAATTTGCAAAAAAGTGAGCCAGAAAAATCTTATAATTGAGATACTATGTTCATAAAATTCTATCATCGTTGTATTATATAATATGATACCAAAAGCATTACTATTTTTGCATTTGTAAGTCTGTGCTCTTATTTATATCATACCATTATGCCTTATGTTTATAAGTAAGCTTTTTAAAAGAAAAAGTTTTCTATTTTAGAAGATTTCATCAAACTTCTTTCCTGCTTCTTGAATAAGGGCCCTGAATTCGTTTTTCACACCAGGCCCTGCAGAGATGTAGCCAGCCCCACCTTGGACTGTTTTCCACTGCTGATGGAGCCACCATCACCCTTTGTAAGGAGGGCCGGGCATCTATCTGTTAGGCAGCTGGTCTGGGGTAGGAAAAAGCCCCAGAGGAACTGGGGACTTGTGCCCTCACTGCCTTTGTCCAGAGCCAAGCAAAGGCAAAAAACCGCCCAGGCCAATGACAGGCCTCTTCTCTGTCAACCACAGTCGAACTGTGGACTGCAGCAAGTCATGGCTGAGAGCATCATCACAACCTCCCTCTTTTTTGTTGAAGTCTTTTCCTTCTCAGGTGAACATCTGTATTCCTTTGGGGACGTGGAATGGAGGGAACTGAGCACAGGATAGACTACATTTTTGTGATTCAGATACACAGCCACTTTCTCAACCTTTGCCTCTGAATACTGTTTGGTGATTTTTGGTCAGATACCCAGAAGCTCTCCCAGGGCCACTTCACCAAGGCTGGTCAGAGTCTTCGATGGATAAAAGCCCTGTAGGACTGATGGCTAAATCGAAGGAAAAGAAAATCATCCTTACAGTGAGGAGCCTGGGGACAGAAGCTACTGCAGCTGATGCTCTGCTCTCCTCCAGTGATTAAGGCGGGACATGGATTCTGCTGACAGGGTGATCCCCTTGGGAGTGTTTCATTTCATTTCACACCAAACACATTTGGCAGCTTTCATAAAAACACAACCACAAATGGGATTGTCTTTAGGCCACCTGAACCCTAGACCCTTCTCCATCTTCCCCTGCTGTACAACTTGACAATTTCCTGCCCTGCCCTATTTTCTGTTTCCACATGAGTATATCACAAGCTCCTCAAGAACAGAGACCTCCTTCATGTGTCACCCAAACTCCAAGTGTAATGATGATACTATAGTTCTTCGAACACATACAACCCACTTTCCCATTTGTGAACTCAGCAGTCCTCACAGCACACTCCTCCAAGCCAGGATAATGCCCATTTTACAGAGGAGGAGATAGAGGTCTCAAGAACTTCATCAGTTTGCTCACGGTCCCACACCCCATCTGCTCAAGCCCAGGACTAGGACTCAGTCACATATGGGTCTGATTCTTTTCTTTTATTTTTTTTTTTTTTTTTTTTTTTTTTTTTTTTTTTTTTTTTTTTTTTTTTTTTTTTTTTTTTTTTTTTTTTTTTTTTTTTTTTTGTTTGTTTTTTTTTTTT